CGATCCCCTGCTCATAATAATCGTAACTACAAGCGATAAATGGTTTTTAGGAAATATGGTGATATATTTTAAATATAATAAAATTCCAGTTGATACCTTATAATTATTTTTTGACATAAAATTAGTTCGACTTTTAAGGTATTTTTTATGCACAGAGAATTTTATAAAAGAATGTTGCTTGGTTTATAGGTTTTCTTGTTTATATTTAAAGAAAATTTTGAAATAAATAATTTAAATTACTGAATTAGTGATTTATATGTGTTTATCTCGTTGGGAGTGAGGTAGCTCAGTGGTAAGGTACTGGGCTTCCTATGCTAAAGGTCCCAGTTTCGAATTCCGGCTCATGGCAGAAAAGTTATTCTGTTTCATCGGCCGTGGGGCGACCCTGGATAGGTAGATCCTCCTGGGGCACACCCAGCCTTTATAAAGTGGGTACTCTTAATTAAAATAATTGATTAAGGGGAAAAATCTGGCGGTTGAGCGTAATCTCGGTCAAATCACCTCCTTGCACAACCGTAGACCACTAAGAAACAGTGCTTTTCCTAAATAGTACTGAACCCAAGACCCTTCATGGGTTGTAGTGGTACAGGTTCGTTGAGGTATGTTATATAAATAAATTTAAAGGGCGTCGAGAAGAAGACTTTAGCCAAGCTTCATTGAAATTGGTACATTCGTATAGGAGCTACAGTCTATAGGAACGCAGGTTTTTTGGCCGCTATCTTGAACGGAAAAGGCGGATAGTAATGTCGATGTAGAAGGATCATCGTCTGGTGACCTCTGACATTAAATCCAAATTTGAAAAAAAATGGTCTAGTTTCGGAAAAAAATGCGCGTACGTCGGACGGATAAAACAATTTACTACTATTTACTAAGAAACAATGCTTTTCCTAAATAGTACTGAACCCAAGACCCTGCATGGGTTGTAGTGGTAGTTGTTTTTTTTTTTTTTTGTTTTTTTTATCTCGTTGGAAATATGATTTTAATTTAGTTTATGGCCACAGTATGAGGCAACTGATAGTTTAAATGAAAGTCTAGTGTATGTTCTCTAGTAGTTACATAAAATAATTTTTAGCTCTATTTGATTTTTGGTTGATTTTGAATTGTATACTGATTTTTTACGATTTAAGACCTAAAATGTTCCTGATCAAAACCCACTTGACCCCAAACATTTTTTTAGTAGTTTTCTTGATTTTTATTTTTGGAATTCTCATGTAACTGTAGAGTTTTAGTCTTCATAGCCCTTCGCTTTAAAACATTATGAAATTTTATTATATACAAAGCAATTATCAATTTTTAAAATAATTTTAAGTTACTAAATACTTTCGTTTAAGCCATTATTGTTAATAAACCGTTAACGTTCTACCTAAACCTAGTTTTAACCCCACAGGTCCGTTCAACTATATCGAAATACCGCCCTCTCTTGGTTTTTAAAAGAAACAGAAGCTGTGTTAACCTTATTTAGTGCTACTAACTGAAAGTAGATGACGCTCAAGTTGACGGTCGATATTTGAGTTCCTTATTTGTCAACAGGTGTTTTACTAGTTAATTGTGTTCTGCGTTTAATCAGTATGCATTTTTCCAACTAAAATTGTAAGTGTAGTTTTGTTGATTTGTTGAATATATTTGTATTTAATACATTTAATTATTTATTTTTTTTATTATTTTTCATATATTAGTGGTCAAACTTTCGTTGTGGGATCGATACTGCTACATATAGTCAGTAGATAATAGCTTATTTAAATACATATAAGTTATACTACACCAAGTCTGCCTTATCAATTGTATTTAATAATTAAAATTTAATTATTGTTATCTATTTAATATTCGCGACTATTCTAGGTTTAAGATACACTAAATAATACTTCAAACTAAATCATACTAATTTGACAGACAAAGAAGCAGGAATTTATTGTCAACAATAGCCTGTTTTTTAGTTTATCGAAATAACGGAGTAAATTGATTTACAGAGCTGGTAAGCCTCTACCGAGCAGTTGTGTCCTTCCTAAGCTATATTACTATTAACTATATATAAATTCCTTTCAACCATACCACGCCATAATATATATTATATATACATGCAGTATAGGAATCCGATGGAAGTTTTGGGCCAACAAATAAAAATAAAAAATAATATATACATTTATATGCAATTCTTAAAATTTGTAAATATTTTGCGATTATATTTATATTTATCATATATTGATTATACTATGTTTTTTAGTATCGTTTATTTCGTTTGCTTACGTTTTGAACTACGTTGTAGGTCTTCATCGGGGTATTCATAAATGAAATGCGTAGATCGAAACGTAGGCTAACGAAATAAACGCTACTACAACATATAATATGTGTCTAATGACTGCACATTGACACTATAACTGATAGTTATTTCATCGTACACATGTAATAGAGAAGTGTTAATAATAAAATCATGAACAAGTTCCTAAATTCAAAATTGGCCAAACGATGCCATCGATGAGTTCAGCGCTGTGTTTAGGAACTTATCCCAATTGACAAACGAAAATATGTCCCTTTTGTAATAGAATAATTTCTTAAAACATTGTATTTATACTCGCAATAGCATATCATAAATGAAAAATAAATAATGGGAAATATGCTCTATAAAGGTTTAAACAAATGAAATTAAAAGTTTTTTTTTTATTTGTTACAATAAATTAGGCCATTTTTCACCAACCTTTTATTATTACGCATCAATTTAACGTTTCGACCATACTAAGGGTCATTTTCAAAACTTGATGAGTCCAACTAATATGTTCATCCTTAAAGTTCTAATTAATAAGTTCAGTGAACATTACTTGTCAATTTTTATAGGTGCTTCGCCTACGTCATTTCTGGAAGGACTGGCAGTAAAAATTGACAAGTAATGTTCACTGAACTTATTAATTAGAACATTAAGGATGAATATATTAGGAGGACTCATCAAGTTTTGAAAATGACCCTTAGTATGGTCGAAACGTTAAATTGATGCGTAATAATAAAAGGTTGGTGAAAAATGGCCTAATTTATTGTAAAAAATAAAAAAAAAACTTTTAATTTCATTTGTTTAAACCTTTATAGAGCATATTTCTCATTATTTATTTTTCATTTATGATGTGCTATTGCGAGTATAAATACAATGTTTTAAGAAATTATTCTATTACAAAAGGGACATATTTTCGTTTGTCAATTGGGATAAGTTCCTAAACACAGCGCTGAACTCGAAACGTTAAATTGATGCGTAATAATAAAAGGTTGGTGAAAAATGGCCTAATTTATAGTAACAAATAAAAAAACTTCAAGACACTAAAAGTAGGAAAAATGAACAGAAGAAATTAAAAGTGTTTTTAAAATTAAATAAACTCATGTTTAGGTTTATAGTCTTAATTGAAAATTTCCAATGAAATCAGGGGTAACATTTTGATTTGTATTATTTCCAAACAATCAGCTTTCTCGAAACTATTATGTTTTTCACTTATGTTCCGATTTCCTCGAACCTATTTATGAAGATGATTCACCAATAGCCAAGAACTTATGTTAATGAACCTAGATGATTCACTTGTCACGTAAACAGACTTATGAAACAATCTACCGAGAAAAAAAATGCTAACCGACAGAATTAAAAATAAGAAATTTCCCTTTGCTGTATATGAGAACTACTTGGATTGTTCTTGAATGGATTGAACTCACAATCATCTTGATCAAAATATTCATATAAACAGTATAAGTAATTCAGAACTTCTTAACTTATAATTCTATTGTTTAGATCTTAAGATTATCTCATAAGACCAGAAGATAGTAAAATTTCATATAGAAAAAAATTAGATAAGTATACAAGACAATAGATTACTTTTTATTCTTATGAATACGAAATATCTCTAAAATATAACATAACTTAATCTTACCTTGATAAGATAAGAATTTTGGCAAACAATTACCTCTTGAAACTACACTAAACACCGATATTATCATAATTATAATCACTTACTTATGGAGCATAAAGCGACACAGTTAATATTACAGTGGTACAATTTCGCGCCTTGATGCATAAAATCTACAGTAAACCAGTGTTACCAGATTGTCACAAGAATTAACATAATGTGTCAAATTTTAGACAATTTTTTTAACTTTTGTCAATCACTAAATTACTAGCCTGCGATTTTTATTGTATACACCATGATAACTAATATCAACAATTTAAATGTATGTTAAACTTAAACCAACATTTTTTTCAAACTAAAAAAAAAGAAAAATATTTAATTTATTAAGAAATGTTTGCGTTGTGTTATTATTATTTTAAGATAATTTGATCGAATTTTGATTTTGATTTTTATAACTATATTTTCTATATATTATTTTATTAAACAAATTCATTGCTATTAATCCTTGGCTTAATTATGAAATCTAAATACATTTAAACTTACAATGTTCTAGAAATAAGCTATAGGTATATTTTTTTTGTTGAATAAACTTTTGAGAATAAGTTTTTTTTTTTTTTATCAGGATGTGCATATGCACTGCTATCAGATCGATCAGTTTCTGAGAAGAAAAAATCGTAGTAGTGTAGTTGTGAATCTCATAACTTCCATAATTAGTATATTTTAATATAATTATGTTATATAATATTTACATAAAGTTGTTGGTAAAATAATGACGTAGGAGGGAGGAAAGAGTGTTCGGATTTTTATTAAATTAATGAATATTTTATGTTTAATTTAAAGATATTTTTTCAAGTCTAGTGCTTACTTATCGAGTTGAGTTTTAATGAAAAATTGTAGGTAAAATTTACTAGTCATTGTTGGAAAGGTTGTTTAATCTCCCATAGATAAATATTTACCCATTCACCTGAGTTCCTTAAGTTCATTACTAATCAGTGATGACGTAGTAGCTAAATCTATTAAGGAAGTTGTAAGCATTGTTCTTTGTGGGGAAAGAGTACTGTTGTAATCAGAATTGTCGCAGTGATTGTGCTGTCCCTGAATATATCTCTTCTCTTGTGATAATTTAAAAAGTCCTACTGGACATAACATAATGTATATCTATATAGATATCGCGGTTCTGTGAGGGTGAGGAACAAGTCTCACTGTCTGCAGTATCAGCTGATTCATGCAAATAGCAACGATGGAGGTTATTTCAAAATGAAAATTTTAGTGTCTTTATCGTTTAAACCATTTGATTGAACATGAAAACACATAACAACCGTGTAGATATAAAAGTTGTGATAGTAGGGAATATGAGTGTTGGGAAAACTTCGTTAATTCAAAGATTTATACATGAAAATTTTAAGGAGAACATGAACGAAACAGTAAGTAGTCTAAAACCATTGTCAAAGTTTGAAATTCATTAACAAAAATGAATGTATCCTAAATTTTTTGTTATTCCCTTTACCATTCACCATACATACCATTGTGTATAACTGTTAGATAGGTGCAGCATTTTCTGCTAAAGAATTGACATCTATGAGTGGCAGTAAAAGAATTGTTGGCATTTGGGATACTGCAGGTACAGAAAGGTAATGATATTGTGGTATTTTAGGAGTATAGCAATATTCTATTCGAATAGCAATATTTAAGAGAGACTTATGTAGGTATCGTTCGATGGTGAAAATGTTCTACCGTGATGCTAAAGCTGCTATTGTATGTTTCGATATCACAAATAAAAGTTCGTGGGAAGGCCTGAGAAGTTGGATCTCTGAACTGAGAGAAGTAGAAGAGGTATTCTTAACTTGAATTTAATTTATTTTTATGAATTCTCTTCTGCTCTTATCATAGTTCTGGCTTTGTTGAAAAAAAAATAAAATGTCTGTTTTAAGACCTCTGACATATTATAAATAAGTTTTATAAACATAACTATGCAAAATATCTTTGAAGTGGGATACATGACAGTTTCCTTATTAGCAGCACTTCTTTTCGACCAAGCCAGATTGTTATATGAAATATTTATTTTTTGAATGATTGCTATTTTTAAGAACAATAAGTAATGTGTTTTTATTACTTTTGACATAAGTTTCATTTTATTTGATTTTTCTTTTATTTCATTCTAAAATGTACAACCTCTTTGATGAGTTGTAGTCATGATTATAAAATTCACATAATAAAACATTAGTCTCTTATCTAATTTAGTCATAAATAAATTGTATCTCTTATACATTTCTGGAATTTTTAGAACTGCAAAGTTTATATATGTGGAACAAAGAAAGACCTCGTTGATGAAGGTATTTCAGAGCGAGAAGTTCCACTTGAGAAATGTAATGAGTATGCTAGAGGTCAGTATAGAAAATTTTTCTTTCAATCTTTTCATTCATTCATATTTTAACTTTTAGATTTTCGTATGGTCAGTTTTTTATCTATATAAACGCACATGATTCTCACTCAAGTTATAGGTTTATATATTGATTTATTTTGGTTATCACCATTCCAAAATCATTATATAATTAATGTTTATTGATTTTTATTTTTGCAAATAGGTATACAGGTAAAACTGCTCGAAACGTCAAGTAAAACAGGAGAAAATGTTGGTAAGTGTTAATTACTTCTTGTTTTATAACTACTAATTAGATTTGGAATATGGTATTGTTTGAGCTAGAAATTGTGCTGAAATTTAGAGCAAATATTAATGGCATAAAGCATAAAATTAAACAATTACAATAATCCAGAATAGGCAAGATTTCAGCCTTTATAATTATCAAGAAACTCCAACGTTTGAATGTCAGTTACTTGGAGAATTATAAACCTGTCACCATTAGACTATAAGACTTAAACCTAGAACAGAAAAAAAAATTTAACTCAATTAGAAAAGATTAAGGAATTATAATTTCAACATCAGTCATTATTATTTTTCGGCCACTTAATAAGCTGCAATCTTTTGAGAAATGATATATCATTGTTATATATGTTTTCTTAGGTATTAAAAGATATTGCAAATTTGTTCGAGTCTATACGAATTATGAATTATTTTATCCCTGAAAAATGCAAAAAAGTAGGGTCTGAAATGAATGTTTTCAAAATATGAAAAGAAAGTCGATCAAAAAACTTCTGCTCCCGAGAGCTTCAGTAACAGGTGTGTTTTTTCTTTTATTAAAGGAAAAAATATACTTGTTTATTTCAAATCACAAACTATATGATTTGTTTAATATTTATTGAGTATTTTTTTATGGAGCCAGGAAAAACTACGAACATTGAGTAGCCAAAATAAATGTTATGTAAGAGAAATTATTGGTAAATTAATAAACATTTTACATTTATGCAGTTGATTTCTGTGTCTTAATTCTGGAAAAATCACTTCAGAAACTATTTTTAAAAAATATACCTACGGGATAGACATTAAACAATACATAAAAATCATACATTATGTCTCGATAATGATGTCAAGAATACAAGATTCTAAGATGGCACAAATTCTTCAATTTTAATGTTGAAATGCATTTTTTGCCGTCTTTCATAACAGAATTATTTTAAATTAGAGTATTTAAAAATGAGCATTATTTGCAAACCACAAATTTTTGCCACAAAAAGCAACAGTTGGTAAAATTATAGAATTAATAGATTTAAAACTTTTTCTTCTGGCATTTTTGATTAGATCATTCATTTTTTTGAAAAGCATTTGGAGCAATTCACATTATACACCCCATTAGCATCATTTTTCGAACTTATTATTGGAATCAGCAGTATTTATTTTATTATGTGTCATTTCTAGATGAGCTTTTTCAGTCAATCGTTGATGAATGTGTACTGGATGAATCTATTATTGCAAAAAGCAGTTTGCAACTTGCTGAAAACGATAAACGAAGAATGTGTTGTTGATATTGTTATTATCATTTAGGAGGTATGTAATGTCACTAAAGTGTCTTGCAAATCCTAGAATAGTGTGTAAAAATGTAAGTAATTGTAGATATCCATATTATGTTTTACGTTTGTAAATAAAATCATACTTCATAGTGAAAAAATACAAATCTAAATAATGTATATTAATTATATAAAAGTATTATTGTGATATAAATAATTATTATTTTTAAAAGTCGTCACTAGCCATTAACATTGCCTAAAAAATTAATATTATTGATAGTTTTATTTTAATGTATCTTTCTGTGAAGTATTTTACCATTATAAAACTTTGAATCTTTTCTATAAGCTAGCATGTTATTTCAATATTAGTTGAGGTATAGCATCGAAATGGCCAGATGATGTATCTGACATCTCCATTTTAAAATTCATATGGAACAACAAATAGTAATGGGAAAAATTGTAGCAGGAATGTTTTTTAATTATGTTTGTTAGGATATCAAATCTGAGAAATAATTTCATTTGTATTCTCATTTTTTTTTTTTAGATGTTTTTTTAATATATGTATAAATTGTGTTTTACTATAATGATTCTATTGGATTTTCCTTTAAAGAACTATAATCTACATTAAAATGTTCTGAATTTATTAATATTTATTAAATTTTTAACCAATAACTGATGAAATAAGTTGCTTTGCTTTAATAGAAAAGATTTTACTGTATATATATACCAAATAATGAAACCATTGTTACTTTTACAGTGAAAATTTAGGTTACTAAAATTTAGTCTGTTTCTATTTAAATTATTATGTATTTATGAATAATGTTTTGGAATATTAGTACAGTTGAATCCCTTTTCTACAGAATAATTTAGCTCTTATGTAAGAGTTTCTTGATAATGCAAATAATAATTTAAAAACGGCATGATCAGTTAATGAGACTTTTTTTTATTCTGTCAATAAATTTCATTAAGATTATCTGCAAAAAAAAAAAATATTTACATAAGTATCTAATTTGAATTTTTTTTTAACATTTAAAATAATTTGTAAGTAAAACTTTTTTTTTCATAGTAATGCTTAGCCACTTTATTATCAATAATTCGTAGGCTCCGATTAAGTTGCATGAGTCAATATTTATATATTTTTCCCACTATTTTACTTAATTTAAAACTATCTGCAACTAAAACACTTCATTAATAGCAAAGAATTGTCAAAAAGTAAATTTAAAAAATTGAATAATCTGGTTTTTGGTTATGGCAGATGCAAGTAAACAGGATTCTACTGTAAAATATTGCATAAATGATATGTTCAGAAATTTCTATCTCTTTAATTAAAAATATATAACAATAATTAATAGTATAAAAAAATATATCCCATATTTTTTTTTTTTATTCTTCAGAGAAAAAGTTTTAATTAATCGAATTTAATCAATTTAATAGTTATTTCTTTTGTCATTCTAACAAACTTTCTAAAAATTGATAGTAAAATATTTAGAATTCACAGAAATAAGTTTTAATATATATCTACGAAAATTATGAAATTGTTATACTTAATTTCATATGGAAGTCATATCTAGTTTTTTTATTATTATTAGATATTATAAATGAATAAATAATACATTTCCCTCACTAATGAAAACCTTTCTAGTCATGCTATTGTCTGTCAATAATTCACATATATTAAGGGAACTTTTGCACTTGCCAATGTAAAAATAATGTGATGTATAAACTCTTTAAATTAAGTGAGTATATTTGTACTAAGCATAAATTTATTTACAATTTATAAAGCCTATTTGTATTAATTTTAAAAATAAAAGTGTGATCTTGCCTTTGTAGTTTTTTATAAAATGTTATAATGCAAAATGGTTAATCATTTTAAATAAAAAAAATTAAAGGTATTTTAGAGAAAGAAATATTGAAAATTAGCCATTGAAGCCCTGTTATAGAACATTGATTAGAATAAAACCTACATTATATTAAAAACTGTTATAATGAATTTTATAATTTTACACTGATATAATTAATTTAATCAAAATTGTTAAAGCCGTTTTTGAGAAAATTGTAAAAATTAATAAAATTATAAAATTCCTTTATAATGCAACTGTCAACTATTAAATATTCAATAAAATAAAATAGGAAAATTGTAACTCAAGTGGGGATTTGAGATATTTGGAGTATTAAGAGGATAAAGAATGGTCAGGATCTGCATTACAAATTTTAATATTCAGTTTACCAACGTTTCGACCCAAACATGTGGGTCATCACCAGGGCTAAAAGTTAAAAAATACAAAATAACATCATAAGAATCATAAATGTAAAAATGTAAGAGAAGAAAATGGTGAAAGTTACAAATGAAACATCAGCTGTATACACTAGCGGATCCCAGATTTAATTTTGGAGGAGGGGCTTCAGCCCGAAAGCTTTTTTTTCATAAAAATGACTATAATTACTTTGGAAAAAAAAAGAAAGAAACTAACTACCTATATGAAATGGTTTTTAAGTGATTCCTGAAGTCCTTTTAAATGTAATTACATGAACAATAATACCTTAAGAGATATTTTTTTCCATAAAAAATGGTTATATTTCACCATTTTGGATGCGGTTTCAGCCCCAAAGCCCTCCTCCCCTCCCCTCTTCCCCCTCCCACCCACCGTATATCCACCTGTGGTTGTATAAACATAACAATAATAAATGTATTTCAATATGCTTAGAAAATATATTTTTTTGTTATTGTTATGTTTATATAACTGTTATCTCATTTGTATATTTTACATTTTTCTGATGTTATTTTTTATTGTTTAATTTTTAGCCCTGATAATAACCCGCATATTTGGGTTGAAACATCGGTAAACTTATCAAAAATATTTTTGACTGCACATCCTGACCATTTTTCATCCTTATGATTTCAACTGTCAGCTATATATATATATATATATATATATATATATATACACACACACACACACACACACACTCACACCCTATGATCTTGATGAAATGTTTTAAGTAGAAGATTATGTTTACTTTTTATAGAAAATTTTCCGATATCAGTTACTAAAATGTATTGATTTGTATCTAAAATAGAATTAAATTTACTATATCTTATTCATTTTATGAGTTATTTATTGGGTTTTCCGAAAAAAATAATGCAATGTTTCGAGTTTTCTTTAAAATACTCCTCCATATTACATACTGTTTAGGTTTATTAGATTATTCATTTGTATGAATGTCAACACTTATTAATCCTCTTCCAAACAATACTTTTTGTTTACCTCTGTAGCATTTCGCTGCTTAGAAATGATTCACTCTTTACTAAGATGTCAACACGTGATTTTTGTATAATTTTGTTTTACGAGTTCAAATTCAACCAGAATGGGGCACAAGCGACCAGAAACATCATTCAAGTCTGGGGCGAGAGCACCATTAATGAGTGCTCTGTTCAATGGTGGTTCGAAAAATTTCGGGAGAGAGACTTCAGCCTTGAAGACAAAGGTCGTGGAAGGACTTCCTCTCTTGATGACTATGTTCTGCCAGCTTTGGTGGAAGAAAATCCCAGAATAACTCTTCGAGAACTGGCAGGGAAACTTAGCCTTAGCAAATCGACCATCAATGACCACCTCAAGGCGATTGGAAAGGTAAAAAAGCTTGAAAGTTGGATTCAGCACATATTAAGGGACCATAAAAAAATCCAGTGTTATGAAATTTGAGCTATACTTCTTGGCCTAAACAAAAATGACCCTTTTCTGTCCAGAATTGTTACTTGTGATGAAAAGTGGATACTTTACCATAACAGTAGACATTCTGGACAGTCGCTCAACGAAGGAGAAGCAGGACATTTTTGAAAGCCCTCAACTCATCAAAAAAAGGTGATGGTTACACTACAGCTTCTTAAATCCTGAAGAAACCATCAATGACAAATTGTATTGTAACCAAATTAATGCAATGCATCATAATTGGCAATAATAAAGTCATCTTTGGTCAATCGGAAGGGGCCCATTTTGTTGTATGACAACGCCCGGCCACATGTGACATCACAAAAACTGTCGGAGTTTGGATATGAAACTCTACCACATCCACCCTACTCTTCAGACCTGTCGCCTATGGATTATCTTTTTTTTTTTTAGACACCTGGACCACTACTTACGTGACAACAAATTTAATGGACAGAGGGGAATTAGAAAATGCATTTTTGGAGTTAATCAATTCTAAAGATGGAAAATTCTGTTCCGAAGGAATGGAAAAGTTGCCAACACGTTAGAAATGTATTGATAGTAATGGAGACTATTTTGATTAAATAAAGCAGTTGTAAATCTTTCTTTTTAAACAAAAATCCTGCATTATTTTTCAGATAACCCAATGTATGCCTATTGTCTCTTGGTCATATTATAATTACCTTAAATTAAAAAAATTCAAGCAGTAGTTGTTTGGCTGCAAAATATGAATTAACTTATTAACTAAAAGGTAGTTAATAAATAATCACATAAATAAATTTAAAATAATAATTTACAATTAATTAATAATAAGAGGAATTCCTTTAGGAGTTCATATGATTGATGATTTTGAAAGAAAGTAGTTCTATGAGAAGGGATAGGTTGGGATCTTGTAATTAACCATATAGCAACGATGAGCGGGATAGGTGCAGTGGCCTTGAGGACAGTATTTATTTTTTAAGTTATGTTATCATTCCAAACTTTATTTTGTTTTTTATCTAACTTTTAAACAATTGAAATGTTATATTTTCACATCATGACCTTCTTTACAAATTTTTAATTCAATTGAATGAGACAAAAAAAAAATAAAACTATTTTATGTTTCTGTGAGAATCTCTCTTAAACAGAATATAATTCATCACTGAGTACCCTCTCATTTAAAGAGAAAGAGCCTGACAGGCGCTCGACTTATATATGAGTCCACCGTTGCCTGTGTCCGATTTAATCTTAACTCATATATGAGACTTCCGTCGCCTGGGCCAGAATTCGTCTCAACTCATACATCAGTTCACTATCATTAAATGATTAAGAGGTGGATAGAAGAGCATGAAGTAGGATGTTTAAAAATATAGAAAGGTATTGTCACAGGAACTTAAGGTAAACACAGGTTTGCTAGATAAAATTTAAAGATACCCTAAATGCCTCAACAGCAGTGACATTTAACGTTTAAAATTGATTTCATCTGAAAAAATGTTTTTGAAATATCTTAATATTACCTCAACCTCAATTAGTTATTGAACTAATATGCTATAATATTTTATCTTTAGTAATTCTTTATGTACCATTAAAAAAACAAAACAGCTAGAGTATAAAATTTTAATTTTCAAAAATTATTTTCTTTATTTATAAAATACATGACTCTAACATTATTTCTAAACACACAAAACGTATTTACATTTATATACATATACATACACTTTTAAGTATTTACATTAATTTTTAAAAAAAATTATTTATAATTTGGATACATTTCGATTACTTCAACATATTTCCATCAATATTATGTTCATTGATAACATTTGATTTTCATTCTTGTGTTTTGTTGTAGTATTTGGTATATCATCTCAAAATACTATCAAACCAAGATAAAGTTTTTTTTCCAGTAAAATATTCTAAGCTTACTGTTTGCAAAATAAAAGAAGAAAAATTCTAAAAACAATGAATTAAGAAAATTTTGTATAATTATTACTTATAGTAGTTACTAACTATAAATATGTCAAAATGGAAAATTTTACTTTAAAAAATATGATAAAGTTTAATGTCTAAAGTTTAACGTCATAAATCAGCAGACAAAGCTTCCATATATAATAAGCTTATATATATCAAAAACAATTGTGATTTATTTGGATATTAAGTAGTTTTTTGATTTATATGGAAAAGTTGTTACTATAATCAGTTTTACATTATTGAAATTTTTAATGTTGAGGAAAAACATGTGCTAAATATCATTTTGAAATTTAAAACCTATAATGTGACTTATGATAACAATTTATCATTAGCATTTAAAAATACAAGTTGCTTCACTTTTCCAGAACTGAGTTTCGATCGACGATCCATGATGATCATTCCACTTTTTGTGAACAATCTACTGCAAGGAACGGAAGTTGCCAGGGAACAAAATATTTCACGAACGACTTCGCTCAAATGAGGGTAATTAAAACGATGAATCCTCCACCATTCCAAAGGGTCGCTTGTCCTATTTATTAAATCGTCTTCTATGTATCTGTCTACTTCAAGCTGGGCTCTGGAATCACCCGAGGTCTCGAGTTTAGAACTTGCAGCTGATTTGTCAAAGACTTCCCATACAGATAGCTCCTCAATGTTTTGATTTTGAGAAACATTTCCTTGAGCTCCTCCATTTTCCGCATTGCTGTCTAAATTCAAATGTTTTATAACTAGATCCACCACACGTTTTTTTACAGGTCCTTCGTTATTCTTGAAAGGTATTGTTTTGAATCTTGGATCTAGGAAAGTACATACTGACAGGACTGGATTTTTGGTCAGTTCGCTAAATCTTGCATTGAATCCGTTTTTCAATTTCATGACAACTTGCTTAGTCGTGTCTGATAAGTCTGCACTTCTTTCCAATTTCCTACAAATTTCGAATAAGCCGTTTGCCAAAACAATTGGTAATGAGGCTAACATATATGTTTCTTGATCCGCTGCTTTAGTAATAGCTTCTAGTGATTTTAATATTTTGGTTAATTCTTTTAAAACAGTCCATTCATCTGGTTGAATAAGAAGGTAATTAGATTCTTGAATTGTAACTGTGCATGAAATTGCATTCTCTAACTCGACAAAACGCTGTATCATATAAAAAGTGGAATTCCACATCATTGGAACATCCTGTTTAAGCTTTTTCGGTTCGATGTTGCAATTTATTTGAGATATATGTAGTTCAGAACTAGCCATCGGATCGTTTCTGAAAAATGATACAACTTGTCGGACTTTAGATATGAGCTCTTCGACAGGCTTTATACTCAGCGCATCTCCAATGACTTTATTTAAAGAATGAATGAAACATCCAAAATGTTCCCATTTTAGAACCATTTTTATAGCATTAGCTATGTAATCTTCACCGGAGGAAACGGAAAAAACTATTTTATTCTCTAATTCCCAATCATTTATGTTACGATGTATTTCATCGGCCAAAGATTCACTAGTAAAATTTTCCTCTAGTAATGAACAGCTTAATAGTACAGACTTGAAATAAAAATCACTATCTAAAAAGTGGGAAGTTATTGCCAGAAAACTTTCATCACTGCTCGACGTCCAGCATTCAGTGGTAATGCAAGCACTTGTAATGGTTCTTGATACAATCCTAGCATTTTCCACACATTTCTGATACATAGCAGGTAATAGTGTTTGAGAGATATATTTCTTAGTCGGTATTTCGTAGGTTGGATTTAGAGATGTGATGAAGCCCCTGAAACCTTCGTCTTCGACAGTACTTATTGGATGAAAATCTCTAATGAATAGCTGCATCAAAGCATCATTCACACTACCTTCAGCTTCATTCTGTACTACTGGCAGAGATTTCTTATCTTTTTTTAACTTCTTGAATGCGACTGCATTTTGCAAATTGAGTTGTGGCGAATATATCTGTTGGGTATTGGCTTGTTGGGTACTGATTTGTTGGGTTGGTATTAATTTAATTTGTATATGTTGTGGGGTAGATTGTTGTGCAGCCTAAAAACAAAAAAAAAAAAAAAAAAATTAAACGGTTATAACATATTTAATTATTAGTAAAAAAATAATGAAAATGATTGGTTAACTTGAAAAAATTTACTGATTTCCATTCAAAAGATTATTATTATCAGGTTGTAATTTTAGTCAGGAACCAAACATTTTTTTCTTTTACCATATTCCTTGACAAGAAATATAAGTAACCTAGCTTAAAGAATAATTCCTCTTGTAGTTTATTGCCTTTTAATATTTTGGAACCAGAAAGAATAATTAAAATATATCTATCATATCCTATATCTATTTCAATGACCTCAATTTTTTTTCTCAAAATAACTTGAATAACACGAAAGTCAGGAAATAAAACAGAAAGCTTTCTGTAGACACCATGGTATTAATTATGAAATTATTATAACCACTAATCAAAAGCAGTATGAGAAACTTCTTAGTCTGATCTATGGTTTAATATATTATCTAATATTCAAAGTGTGAAATGGGTTAGTAAGACTCTTGTCACATAATTTATTTGAAAATAGAAATTGAAATGAAAGATTGGTAAGGTGTTATGTCCTTCCGCTGAGAGGTTATCAGAACCCAACTTAACTTGCAGACCTGCTGGCCGATGGCAAACTGTGACTTAACTACTGGTTTGTCTAACAGTAGAGTAATTTTTTTTTATTACAAATTCAAACTTTGTTCAAAATTTGTTTATTTTTTCTTAATTATACAAAAGATTCTGATGAAAATTAGTCCAAACATGATCTATTTTCTTATTAGGTATATTGTGGAATAAAAAATGACAATTTTAATCTTAATTTCAATTAGTTGTGTATTTTAATCTGCATATATGAAGAATCTTTGATCAAATTTAGACTTATTTTTAGAATTAAATGTAGAATCTAAAAGTATTTAACAATTTTTAATTTAAACTTGAGACAAAAAAAAATACTGTAATTCTAAGACAGAACCTGTACGTGAGTAATTGTTTGGAAATGGTACACTGTACAATAAAATAAATGATCAAAATTGCTGATTTTTTTTCTTCAAAACTATTTCGTAATTGAACAATTGTAAATTTAAACTTGAGACCAAAAAGTACAGTAATCCTAAGACAGAACCTGTAGGTGAGTAATTGTTCCGAAATGTTACACAACAATAAAATAAATCATCAAAATTGTTGATTTTTTTCTTCAGAACTATTTCATAACTGAAAAGATTTCACAACTGTAGTTATTTATCACAACACCAGAATTATGACTGCAAAATAAATTTATTTAAAATATATTGAAATCTTGTTCATAAATAATTGAGGAAATTAATCATTAATAGAGGAGTTTTAATTCCGACACCCGGGTTTGTGGTGAATATTTAGGCTTAATTTTGTATGATGTTTCGATCCATAAATTTTACTAGAAACACTAAAGCTCTTAAAAAAATGATTTGTATATAATGCAAAAATAATCATAGAAATTTAAACAAGAACATATCTCTATTGGAAAACATAATTTTTTTACCGATAAGTTGTATTTAAAAATTAATTTAATTCCAAAAAAATCATTTAGAAAATAAGATCATCAGAAAAATTTACATCATCATAATTGACAAATTTATTTATTTTTTAAAAATGAAATTGGCTTCAGGGGCTTTTTTTTTCTTACTGATACTAACTAGTACCATATGGTATACCATGTAGCAACCAAAATGGTAACTAATGGAAGGAATGTTGGGATTCAGTTTCCAGTAACCAAACTGGTTGTTTTTAAAATGGAACCGTTATTTTTTCCGGATTAATTTCTTTTTGGGGCCAGATTTAAGTGATGAATTTGAACCATATCCATACCCATACCCACCACTATCTGTTCAAATCCTGTTTTAATAACAAGTTATTCTGCCATTGATATTAGTAAAAGCTTGTATGAATGAGAACTACTATTCAGGTATAGTAACCAGTGATAAAGTAACAAGATAACTTTGACTGTCTGTATTAATACCTTTACTACCTCCTTTTAACTCAGTTAAGGGCATGACAGACATGAGTAAGCAAGCGAAGAAAACCTATTGAAATCAAAATAAATAGTTTTGACAACAATGCATATTTCTCTTTCAAGGTACTGTATACATATCACTGTGTGGAACGAAAATAAATATTTGTTTAGCCAATTCAAGGCAAATTACTGGCTCTTGTATTGCATTTCAATAATATAATAATAAAATTTAGCAAATACTGAATAGTAGTATTCCAAGAGTTTACTCCGTTTCAATTTATTTAAAAAAAGAAAAGTAGAAGTACCGTTCTGTCAAGAAATTGTAAATAAACACCATTAAAAATAGTTGTTAGTAATTCAAATGTATACAGCTGATCAAAATAAAAATCACTACTTACCTTTTTTGGTGGGCTTGCAATTTGAAATATTTGAGACTGTGTTGACGTTAATTCTTCAACTTCATTACCGAGTCTAGGTACTGTTTGTACAACTTGTAATGTGCCGTGTTTACGCTCTAAATGTTTTCGTAAATTAGAGGTGGTGCTTCTATAAGAAAAGCGTTTGGCACAAATTAAACATCTAGCACAATCTCTATCAATTACTTCAAACAAGTTCCATATAGGACTGTATTTTTGTTTTCCTTTTTTTTGTTCCATGTTTATCTTTTAATTGGGTTATAATAAAACGGTAGGTATAACTTATAGTTTGGTTTTGATGATTTTCAATAGATTGATTCAAAGATTTTTGTAACGTCAAGAAGTAAAATGAGATCCAAGTTAATCAAGATTTCAAATATTTGAGAAGAAACGTATCTCTCAATGTAACGTAGGACAATCACCCTCAAGTATTTATAAAGTAACTGATATTCTAAAATGTACTAGAGACAACATAACAATCCACGTAACCTATAACTCGACATTGTACAGCGTTGCGTACGTTGTAGTAACTGCTTCGGTAACTGTAGCTGTTACCTTATAGCAGTGTTGCCAGGACGGTCATCTATTTTTCCTAAAAACTTATCTTAATGTTCTCCTAAATCCACCAACTTTAGCTATTGATTAATTTTTATTTTTATATAAATATAATTAATATTATCATAATAGAATAAAATTCTTTAAATAACAATGCAAATGTGACAATAAGGCACTGAAGGTAGAGAAAATCGAATCATGTGAAATGTTATTTTGAAAAATCGATTGTGATGCATAAAACGAGTTTGTAGCTAGTAATATTGATATTACATATTTAATTATAAACAGTTTTCTATTTTAACCATCTTCTCTGTAAATAAGTTTTTCATTTGTAATATTCGTTCGGACCAAGGGATCCAGGTATAATTTTTCCAGAACCCCATCAAATGCCCCCCTTCTGACCCCAAGCTACAGTGCAACCCCCCTCTCTGGTAAGGCCTGCCCATTTTATATGGTTTCTTTCTTTTTCATCCAGTGTACTTACCACTATAAAAAAAAAATCCCCTTCTCAAAAATTCAAATCCTGAATCTGTTACTATCACAGAGAGATTTAGAGAAGGGGCTTTCTGGCTGACACTCCTCCCAAAATGGTAAAACGTAATCCTATCTTACGAAAAAATTATCTTTAAAAGTATTATTGTTCGTGTAATTACATTTAATATGACTTCAAGAATCACTTATACACTAGTCATATTGTTTCTTTCTTTTTATTTCAAAGTAATTATATATATATATATATATATATATATATATATATATATATATATATATATATATATATATATATATATATATATAAAAGCTTTTAGAGTAAAGCCTCCCAAAACTAAATCCTGGAACCATTAGTGATTACTGCATACATTTTTTTTTTAAATGGAGTTCTCTGATCACTTTGGAAAATAAATATATTTATTAATTAGTAGTAGAGTTTGATGCATTTTGGATGAGTATTATTTTTATATAATGGCTGAAGATTTAGTATTAAAATATTATATTTTAAATCCAGATCTTAATTTATAAAAAAATCAGTATTATTAATAATCATAAATATAATGTTAGGTAATAATTGAAAACATACTAACCTATCAATTCAGGCATAATTATGGGAAAAAAACAACATTAGTCACTCCATCACAATCACACATGTGAAATTTCGTATATCTACTGACCACTGTTTCTTGTACTTTAAGAAACATCTTTATAAAATAGGAGTGGCACTCTTCACTCCGTAATATAAGCAAATAGGGACCAACTATGGACGCACCACATTAAAACATATGCTCTTACAATAGGAAATTTACTCATCTATATTAATATAATCGTTATCATATATTTTAAATTGAGTTATAATCATTTGATATTCAATTTAGCATTTCAATGCAAAATTAAGATAAAGGTAGTTTCCAGAATCTCCAATCTAAAGTAGTGAACACTTTCCATCATGCACAAAAGTTTTTGTTAGTGTACTATATAATTATAAATGAAATGATAAAAAATATATAAATATCTAAAAATACGCAAGTTATTTATAGACCTTGTACAATAACAGAAATTCATATTTTGTCCCAGATAGGTATAATTCCTAAATATTTTTTATCTTTAAATATTTAAAAGTAAAAATTCTTTCAAAGGAAAGAAAGGATTTGGTAAAATTAAGTGAATATTCAATGTTAAGTAAGTAATCTTAATGCCTCCATAAGATTACGGTTGTTTCTAGTAATCATTGCTTTATTTTATTCAGTTTTGCTGAAATCATATTCCTTCCAAAAAATAATAATGATTGTAATTACCCAAATAATAATTCATAGTGATAATTTAAATAATTATTCTTTATTTAATGATAATTTGAATAAATCACAGCTATTAATTTTAACTAACCAAATAAGAGACCTTGTGTAGGTTCCACAGTCAGCAGATATGTTATCTACCCTTTAACATTTGAGTCAGTGTAATTCAATAAAATTAAAACATTAATTACCTGTTCTTTATTACATATTAATGTAAAAAGCTGGTTTCCTAGTTCATAATATAAAAAAAAACTTGTACCACTACAACTTATGGTCTTGGGTTCAGTACAATGTGAGGAAGTACTGTTACAAGGCCAATAGTTATGCAGGGAGGTGATTGGGCCGATATCACACTCAACTGCCAGGTTATCTATATTAATTAATTATTTAATTAAGAGTGCCTACTTTATAGACTGGGTTTGGCCCAGCAGGGTCTCCCGACCCCATGGTTGATCCACGGCTGATGAAAAACTATTAGTCATCAGCTGGATTCGAACCTGGGACCTTGAACTCTGGAAGTCAGTGCTCACCAATGAGCTACTCCGCTTCTTCATAACATAAACTATCTTCTTTTATTTAGAAACAAATAAGTCCACTTATTAAATATTCCACAAGTACTTAATTAATGGAGATCTGAGATTCATTTAATGGAGAGCTACATGAAATTACGAAACAAAAAAAAGATCTTTCCTTCTCAAATAATACTGGTATAGTGAATTATTTTTGGAGGTGATTGTGATTATAAAATGGATAAATAAAATAAAATGAAAATAATTCACATAGAAAATATTTAATTATATTACAAAAAAATGTATTTATTATTTTACACTTTTATATGGATTCGACGATGTTCAGCTAAACTGTTCGGCTTGAGTACCCCACCGCATCTGGAAAAAAAAAAGTAGTGTTATCATTTGGGATCAATACATATCTTTTAATATTATTAACACTTTATAAAGAAAAAAAACTTTACCAAATAAAATCAATACCAAAAACTGTATCTATCAGACATTGTGATAATATAAACATATCTTAATGTAATTTGTGTACTTCTCAATCTATTTAGTAACTATAAATAAGTAATATAAAATAAAGTACAAACAATTATAAACTATTTAACTTATATGGATATGTAAATTAATATTATAATTAATAAGGTATTTAAAAGTTATGGGTGTGTCCAGTGAGGATTGACTCAACCACCTAGTATAATGGCATCAAATTTATTTAAATTTTTTTAGCGAACCAACAGTAATACGAACCAACAGTAATAGACTCAACTAATTACCTAATATCTCACATATGTATTGAAAATTATAATGTGATAATCAAACTATAAAATAAGAGACAGGCACATGAACATCTCTACGGTTTTTGTAATTTATTTTTTGAGCAAAATAACAATTTTAATAAAATACATGGAAAATGATAAAAAGGTGTTATGTCAACAATGCCCACAAGCACTGTTGGGTTGGAGACAACCTTCTTAGACATAACAGAAACAATTTTAGCCATAGTAGATGGTTCAGCGTTAGCCATCAAATATAGTGATTGAAACGAGCTTCTGATTACTAGAATGCAGTGTTCGTTACCCATATTTTGTACTTGTAAGGAAGAATTATAACTTGTGAACAATAATAATAGTATTGCTAAAATAAAGTAATTTAAGTATGGTAAGATGAAAATAAATTTGCCTTACTTAAACTTTATTAAGCCTGCTATTATCTCTACATTTATTTAAAATTAATAAAAAAAATATTATATTAATTGCTGAGTAACAAAAAGGGATGAAAACTTCAAATTATAAAAAAAATCTGTAAAAAATTGGCCATTGATAGAATAAATTTGTGAGCGAAACCAAGGGCCTCAGGAATAAATTTTGATGGGCACCCTTTAAGTAATAAATTGATCATTGATACTCAACCTTTTCCTACAAAAACAAACAAAACAAAAATATTATGTAAATATGTTATGCAATTATCATATATTTGTAATGTTTGGTTTAAAAAATTGAGAAAATAAAACCCAGCTGCCCCTCTTTCACAGTTTTGCTCGGACCCATAAATATTCATTATTTCGTCATGAAACTAAAACGTGTTACAAATACTTTTTTTTTTAGAATTTCCATATAGAGTTAAACAAACTTTTGCTTCCATCAATGAGGTAACATTAGAACATGGCCAATGCGAATGCAGCATTCTTTTGTTCATTCAACAGCATGTCATAATTTAAATTATATTTTAAAAAATTACCCATTTGATTGTAGAGAACAAACAGACTTTCATTATCAGAAAATTCCCATATAGGAGAGATTACCCTTACAGTATACGATCGAGAGACACCCTGTATAAGTAAATTATCAGTGGTTTTAGAATATTCCAACTAACATTCAGCTCAATTATCTCTCTACAAATATAACAACAAATAGTATAAAAATGAAATCTATACTAAAAAGAAACAGACTTGAATAAAAATTTAATTATATCTCATCATATTCATTAACTATTTTAAACTAATAATAGTACCTATATCAATAAATATTAAATTAACTATACATAATAACTGAAAGAACCAAGATTAAAAATAATTTATTTATGGAAAGTTTTTATAAATAATATGTAACGAAAGACTTAATATTCAACAACACAACAAAGATCCAAGGGACAGGCGAAGATACACTTTCAGTACAAACTCACATCTTGATTCTTAGCTTTCAGCTTCCTCTCAATGAGTGCTTGCAGAGCTTCAGACCTCACCGACAGTGAATCAACCTTCTCCAGCAGCTGTTGGTATGGCGACAGAGGTTGGGTGCCCATGACGACGTGACCCAGTTTAGAGTCTATCTTGGCGTCCAGGCGAGCGTTTCTGATCAGGTTCACAATCCAGCATTCCGCCTCATCCGGATTCATGTTAAGTTTTTCCGCCAACATTCTGTGGAAGCAAAACATTTTTTTTAAAACTCATATTAATTATTATTTTTTAAAAACAAAGTCATGAGATAAAATTATATAGTTTCATTCATTTTTTAAATATTCATAATTTAATTGTAGCTAAACAAACGTAATCATTATCTTATGATATAAGATATACCAATTACATGAAGGATGTAAAAATTACCGAATATACAACTATAAAGAAAAATACAGTATAAAACATTTAATTTTAAAAACTAGTATAATGAACCATAACCATAAAATGAAAGAACAAAAGCTATTAAAATATTGGACATCTGATTGTTAGCAATCAGAAAATAATTTCTTCATATGCCTAAAATTATAATAATTAAAAGATGTAAAACTAATTTCACTCATTTCACCATTAGGAGGTTTCATGCAGTACGGTCGGTCCTTAGGCATGATGCCATACTAACTTGTCAGATTCATACTTACATGGTTTTCGTTTGGAAAGTTGCTATTCAGCATATATATATATATATATATATATATATATATATATCTTCATCTCCTTTTTCTTAATCATTTTCTCTTCTACTGCTGAGTGGTGTGAGGAGCCTTCTTGTAGATCCAAATCCACAACTCTCGATCCTGGACCAACTGCCGCCTCCTCCTCCAGTCAATATCCTTTCTGTTAAAGGCCTCCTTGACACCGACCTCTTACTCAAGTCTTCTTGAGCCTTCCCTGAGGTCTTCATCCCTCAACTTTACTTTCCAATGCTATCCTCGCTACTCGGTTCTCTGGCATTCGAGAGAGTTGACCAAACCATCTCAAACGATTTTCTTTTATCACAGTTTCGGCTGGTCTTACGTTTAGGTTTTCCTTATTGTGGAGTTTCTTATGCGGTCTCTTTTTGTTTTTCCTTTGACCCTGCACAGGAATCGCATCACCATGGCCTGTATCTGACCGATGTGTTTTGTATTGAGGGTCCATGACTCACTGAAGTAGGTCATTATAGGAAGGAAAGTACTTTGTATACAGTTGTTTTGGTCTACCTGTTTACTTCTAGCTTGTTCAAGAATCCTTTATTAATGGCGTTAAAGCAATTTCCTGCAGGCTTCATTCTTTCCTTTATTTCTCTGTCGATCCATCCGTGTTCATTGATGTAGGCCACAAAGTTTTTAAAATTCTTCACTTGTTCCAATGGAACTTCACTCAAGTGAACTATTCAGTCACTTCTTCCTTGTTTTTTTACCAAATCTCATAGTTTGGTTTTCCCCACATTTATTTGCATATTTAATTTTTCCTGAAAAATATGGAGACTGAATTGAAAGTTTCGTCCATTGCTTCCGAAAACCAACAAGTCATGCATAAGCGAGCAGAGAAAAAAGGGCAGGCTGTAGATTTCTGTATCACATTTGATATGACCTCATATTTTGTTGTGTTTTTTTTATTGCATTGTCTAGCATTACTGTAAATAGCAGAGGACTTAGACTACACCCTTGTCTAATATCTTGATTAGTTGTGAAATCTTCTGATAAATTATTGCATGTTCTCACACATTTATTTGAGTATCATAGACTTAGAATTACGTTATGAAGACTTATTTTGATTCCTTTGTCTTCTAAGGCTTTTGCTATGTCTTGCTTCTTCACTCGGTCAAACGCCTTAGTCAGGTCTACAAAATATATCTCTTTGTCCCTTTTGGCTTATTTCTCAGAAATTTGCTTTAAAGTAAAGCATATATATATATATATATATATATATATATATATATATATATATATATACACACACACATATATCAATAGAATATGTAAATGTATATGTTGCAGATGTCAAACAATATATACTTGCATGAAAAAAAAAAATCTTGTAAATTTAAGCTGCAATAGAATTTCAGTGGTAAAATAAATACATAAGTTTGACAAAGCACTTTTAAATAATAAAAAAAGGTTAATATTTAACTAAAAACTAGAAATAACGCTGCATCTTAGGGGTGTGGCCGATACCAGGGGTGTGATATACAGCTGCCAAACACAATACAATGGACTTCCAATCATTAAAACGAACTTTAAAAACAAAAGTTGAGTATTTGATTTTAATTTAAATTTCAATGATTAAAAATGGAAAATTTTGTAACATGTTCAACAAATGCATCCAATGGGCAGGAAAAATTATGCAGACCTAAATCAAATGTGTAAAATTGAAATAACATACCTTTGAAAAAATATATTTAATGTATTTTTTTTTTTAACTTTCAGACTCTATTACTGAAGTAGATGCAGCCAGATGCCTTGAAAATGATGATTTCAAGTTCCAAAGAATAAAAAATTTCAGATTATTTATAAGAAAATAATTTTATGCAACAAATTTAAAATTTTTGTTTTTGAATTGTGTTGTTATTTTTTATGTGACTTTTTCTTCCTGTTTGGTAATCATTTCGATTAGTTTGGATTAGCGAGAGACCAGGCTACAATTTATAGAGGAAAATAAAATCAATCTAAAAGTAAATATATTAATTAAGAGAAGACAGCGTGAGAGAAAAAATGGAAAGATATATCCTGAGTGGACATTTTGAAGCTGGAAACACTATTTTAAGCCAGAAAGTATGAGATAATCAACGGTATGAGTGAGGTGCTGGCAGGTTATGACATAGCCGCATCTCACTAATAATCTTTGAAAATATGCATCAGAAAAATTTGTGAGTTTTGGCATCTTAATTTTATAACGCAATCTTTATTGATGAATAAAAATAAAAATTCATGCAAGTTCCCACTTAATGGAGGAATCATTGTGGTCCTTAGTTTAAGAAGTTAGTAGACTCTTGCTTTATGCACACGAACTTAAAATTTTGCATACCCTATACTGATGCACTGATGAATCCGGCAGAAAGTTTCGAAAATCATGAGCCTGGCATTTTCAACAAATTCATCTAGGCAGGCGACAAGGAAGAAGTCATAAAAGACTACCATTTGACACTCATGAAGCTTTTGACGGGCACCTTCAAAATCAAAATTGACGTAAAGATGTTCCAAAAATTCTGTGATTGGATCTCGATAAGTATAAGATTCCTGAAATATTTTTAACAGATATAAAACTTGAAAAAAAAAAAAAAAAAACCAACAAACCAACATAAAAATTAACATTAGAATAATGAGATACAACACACATACCTGTTGAATAACTTTAACAAGGTCTTTAAGGGCACTCCTACGAGACCTGTTAATAATTACGGCTGTAGCCAGGTATCTCAAGATATGAGGACACATTGTTTGAATAGCATTCAAGTAGCTAAAATAAATAAAAGAAAACATGAGCAGGATGACAAAAAAGTTTAAATCGTGAATAAAATATAGGCAAGCAACTTCAGGAAAAATCTATGGGTAAAGCCATAAAATAATGCAATTTAACAGTAACTACATTAAAAACTAGAGCCATTTAATATCACATGTCTAGTATATTCATTTATCTATCCTATTAAACAAACAAAAAAAGAAATAAACTCACTGTGGCCTATATAAAAACATATCTATGATAAGATCCCTTCCTTTGGGGTGATTGAAGAATATAAACAGACTCCAATGGATCAGCCATGTCCTCTGTTGTAGGAGCTGTAATGAAGAACTAAACGTCGTCGAATCTATGAACTCTCGTAACTTGTTCAAATCCTCCAGAGCTGTCTCCCAGTTCTGTATGAGAATTTCAGCAGCCAGTTTACCCCATAATACACTCAAGTAATTCTGAATAAAAAACACATTATAATTCATTTCAAACACACAAAAGAAGTAAATAAACAATCCATAAACATACTGTCTATTATTAACTGTGTGTTATAGTTATAGTAACTGAATATTATATCAACAATTTTAAACTCAGAAAATATAAAATAATACTAACCTTATCAGTAGGTGGCATAACAAGCAGATAAAAGTACAGATATCCTGTTGTGCTGGAGTAATTACCACACTCATATTTGAACTTGGCGATTTTATAGATATTTTCCATCATTTCGATATTAAACTAAAATTAAAATTGACACTTTAATAAAAAAGTAAATATAATAATAACTGTTTTAGAAAAAAAAAAAAATTACATCAATTTCCTTCGCTAAATATGCTGTTAAAGCTTTTGGGTCCTTCATCGTTTCTAAAGCTGCACTACTATCATCTGTGATAACTTTAAGTAGTGAAGTCACTTCATCTTGTAATTCTTGCATTTCTGTAATGACTTTCTCTCTTTTTACTTTCAAAAACTAGAAAAATAAAATTTATTTTGTATTGTAATATGCAATTGTAACAAATAAACAGTATATTAAATAGCAACTATATTTATATACTAACTTCAGGAACACCTTCATCAGGATATAATATTTTTCTTATGTCAATATCAAAATCTATCATGTTAGTTTTACTCAAAATGTCCAATTTCGCTTGGAGTAATTCTTGCTTATTGTAAATCTGAAAATAAATAAAAACGTCAATGTGTTATGTTATAACCACTAATTGCTTCTTAGATTTCCATTTTAATCAAATTTTCTTAATAAGAAATAGTAAAAAAAATAATAATACAAATATTTTCATGAAATAGAATGCTGATATAATTTTTAAAAAATGATTTGATAGGATATAATTTTATATCAATTTGAGTTTTGCTCTTTAATAGTCCAAACATTTATTTTAATATTCTGTAATAGAACCTTATGGTTATGCATAAGTCAGTTCACACTTATGTTTTTATTAAACATTTATCAATGTAAAGTTAGAAGATTGAGTCGAGAACGTGTATTTTCCAACACACTTAGCTTGTTTTGGCATAACATGTATAAAATGATCGATGCGATCTTGGTGCAGTTGTCACCCAGACGACCACAAACTACTATCATATCACCTATTAATGATTAATTTTTGTTTCTTTTTTTTTTTTTAAAACAATATTTTTTATGATGACATCACTTTGTAGAACTGAATGTATCTTACTACGTTTCCTCTTTTATAATTAATTCAAAGTTTTATTATATTGAAGATTTATTAAACTTTGTGGTTTAATAACTATTATCAAATATTTTGTAACTTTAATTGTAAATTAATCTCTTGGTGATGAAAACTTCACTATCCACATCTATTTTAGTTAAATATAAAGAAACTTCTTTCCTATAACAATAGTTTCTTCTCAAGTTCTTTCTGGATGGCAAGTGGGCCAGGATCACTTTGATCACACTTGTATATTGAACACCAAAAATACCGAAGTTTAAATGAAGGAGTACAAAGATTATTAATCTCACCAGTTATTCAAATATAGACTGTTTTTGGTCATCCTTTACACATCTACTTACTGTGTAAAGTATTATTGAGTTCAGTAAACTGAACTCAATAATACTTAATGTTAAGTTTATACTATGAGCTAATGATGTAAGATTAAAAATAATTTTTATTTTTTTGACAGAAAATAATAAAAACTTTTTTTATTTTAGAGAACAATAACCAGAAATAGCAAGCAAAGTAACACAGAAACATCAGTACTGAAGAATAAAATTTAACCTAACCTAACACAAAAATTGGTGTTGTCGCAAATACATATTGTCTGTCATATATTTCTAGAAGTCTATGTAAAAATGTGAACTAAGTGATCTTGGCCCATGCGTCATCCACATAGAGTACTTATGAAACTAGCAAGATGTAAATTACACAATATTTATCTGTCAATTCTTGATAGCTTAAGAAACAACTTTGGCAAAAACAATTGGGTGTGTACTAGTACTTTAGGACACATGGAAAAAAGATTGTTTGTATAATAATACTTTTTTCTAACACTTAGCATACAGTACCATTGTTGGTATGATGTCAATGCACCAAAAACATGATGTTACATGAGTAGTGACAGCGAAGACTAATCATTAAAAGAACTCAGCAAATAAATCATGAAATAATGGTTTATTTACAGTAGGGTTTGTACTACTGAAAAATAAATTAGTTTCTGATTATAAATACTGAATATATATGGGGCTTAATCTCAATTAATTTTCACGACTTTGAGAAGTTGGTAAAAAACAAAAAAATAATGTAATTTACTAGAAAATGATTATAACAAACAAATAGGATAATATGTCACTGAAGAGAAAAATAAGAAAACAATGAGCACACCACCGGGCATATGCCAGAACTCACCTCTTTTCCTGAAATGAATTCCATCAAAGGAAAAACTAAATGGACATCTAAATAAGGTGCCATTACAGGCGTCAAATCGAACTTAGCCATTTTAAAATAACTTTAAATAATACACAATCTCACGATAAGACCCACACAACACACTCAACCTTCTAGAAGGTAGGCTACGCTCTTTGTTACCTATCAACACATGGGGCAACTAAATATTCATCAAATGCTGTTTCTTGAATCAGAATGTATTTGTTTTATAAAAAAAAACAAATAATTTCGGGTGAGTTTACTGATAATTAATTTTTATAAGGTTATTTTAAACAGAATGGAGGCCAACTATTGTATTGTTCCTCCGACTAATTTTATATGGTGTTGTGATATAATTTCTAGACTGAACAACGATGTAAGCATTATCTTGGCAAATAGTTAAATATTATTTAAAATTTATTATTCTTATTAGATTATTATGTATTTCAGATTCAATCTTTAGCTCATGACTTACAAATACTATTCAAATTACAACAGTGTTATGTAGGGTTGCAGAAACAGTTTGATCAACTTTACAGCCAACTGGAGAAGAAATTGGAAGTTTTAAGCTCGAAAAAAGTTCAATTGTCCATTGATAACGAACGGATAACTCCAATTCATGTTGAAGAATTTATAATTTTTATTAGGAAAGTTTGCAAATCTTTGAGCGAAAATTTGCGAAACGAAAACGGGAAAGCAAGATTCATAAGTTACGTCAGAGGTATGAATTCTATCGTTGTTATTTGAATTACGGTTGTTGGAAAATTATCATTCTTGTTGTATCAAAAATTTTATTATCCTTATCTTTCAAATGTTGTACAAACCAAAGTATGCATTGAGCATTATCAAATGAGAATCCTAGTCGAAGTCTATTTAGGGAGATGTACACCCTGAAATTTAAATAAACGGTTCTCCTGAGTATTTTAATCTAATAATTTTAACTTTTCCTTCATGTAAATTTTATGGATTAGTACTTTGACCTGAATCCATTTGGTAGAAACCCGACAGAAAGGGCAAGCTTCTCAACTCAGCCATGAATTTATTTAGTTTAGAGAAAGGTTCGATGCCAACGATTAGGTTAGCGCTGAGTTTAGTAACCTGCTCAAATATGGAAGTTTTAATCAGATAAAATGAAACAGTCATTTGTAATTTTATTATCTTATGTTTCTAGCACTTGTTTGATTCTGAAAATTACCATACCTACCTATATTTGAAAATAAAAAGTTTAAATACTTTGAAGAAAATAAGCGTATTTGGCAAATGAAGTAACTTGAAATATGGATGTTTTAGACTTCTTTATTATCTCCTCAAAAAAATAAATAAAATAAAATAATTGCGTTCCTTTTTTTATTATAATATAAATATTCTTTAAAAAATAGTTTAGCATTCATTAAATACTTAAGCGTAATTTTGTTATGAACTAATATTGTTTTTTACCAGTGGCGGATTCTGGAATTAAATTTGTGGAGAATTTGATTTTTTTTTCTTAATTACAATAATTACTAGAAAAAGAAAAAACTAAACTAATTTCTATATGGTTCTTGAAGGCTTATTTATAAATAAAAATTATTTTAAAAATTGGTTTATAGAAACAATTTTACTTTTAGGGATATTTATTTCTTGACACGTGCTTACATTTGATAGATGAAATACACGCGTTATAATTTTAAAAGAGCACCAATTTTGATTGTTAAAGTATTTAGCTCAACTCTCTCACAGAAACAAATTTTTCGATTTTGGGTGAAAGGGAGAACATCAGTCCGAAAGCCAGTGTTTCTTACAACATTTTATAAACAAAAAAAAATTTTTTTTCAGCTTATAATCGTAGTCAGAAGCGTATCTAGTTTTTAATTTCTTGGGTGGAGGGAACTTGAATTTTTATTTTTCAATAACTATTTTTTTTTTTTTTAATCTACCTTAGAAGAAAACATAGAAAATATAAACAATCATGTATAAGTGTCTTAAAAAAAAAATGTTATGATTGAGTTTTATTATCCACGTATTCTGTGGAAATGAAAAATATACGAGAATAAATACATTCTAAATTATTATTTACATTTTATTTATTTATTATATTTTTATTTTTTTTTTGCAGGATTACCTTTGAAATCTATAGTTGACGACCTTATGAACTTCTGTTTCCATTGCTCCCGAACGTTTTTGCCAAAGTTTTATCATCATCAATGTTCGCAAGTCTTCACAACACTGGCAAATCAGGTATGAGTTTCACTCAAATCAGTGTGTATACTAATAATCATTACAAAAAACTTTATTTATTATTTATATTTTTATGACAAATCAGGTTTGCATTTCAGATCAGCTAGTGTTGTTCCAAATCGGTCTTGGTCTTGCAAATTTGAGAAAAAATTAAGGCAAAATTGTTACTAATACTTGACAATTTTAGTTACTATATGTAAAGAATTGGTAGAATCATTATACTTTTGCATTTTACTCTTCCAATTTGTCATTCGGTATTTAGTTAGGTTTACCCATTCTGAAAAATGACAGCAATACCTCTATAGTATATAATGGTAACATCTCTTAAAATGTTATTAAATTTCCGACAAAACTATAAAAAAAAAAATCGTATAAATTGAACTAGTTTTAGCAACGATACACATCCAATTACTGTGTATTGAATTTTATATACTGATTTTAATAATTGTTCACTTTCCCGTTTACATTGATTTAGTTCATCAAAGAAACCGTTTTCTAATAATTTCTTTAATCGAATGTCAGGAAAATTATTCTAATTCAACTGTATTATTTTAATTGTAAATATTTAAAAAAAAAATAATTGTTTAAAAACGGTAGGAAAGTCATGTGTGTGGAAATATCAGATTTTTTATTAAATAATTGGTGGCATTTTATAGATTGTCTTTATTCTACAACTCTTCCATTACAAGGTGGGAGTCTATCACTATCTTTCTCGACAATGACTTTAACGTATCGTCAAGTTAATTTTATTAATTTCGTTGGATTTTACTATATTTATGTCAATAAAACATCTAAATGTACCTATTCTGTAGCGTTTTTCTAAGATCTAAAGTAAAATTTATATCTATATAAATAAAATTAAGGTTTTGTCTGTACATTGAATAGAATCAACCCGTTTTATGATATCTTTCCGTTTCATACATTGTAGACACCAAACCCACTTTTTAAAAAATGTTTGTCTGTATGTCCGCATTGCAACAAAAGTTTGTCAGGGGTAAGCTCAGCAATGGCTGATTGTATACTTTTGAAAATTTGACATTATATTAAGGTTTGCTTAACTTAAAACATAGACTTTAAATGAAAACAAAATATTGAGTAGAACCAAAGTTATGAATTCTTTAGTAATTTGTGTAAAGATCTCGGTTAATGTTGATGATAAATGTTAATAATAAACATATATTTATAGGTTAAACTATATAAATAAAATAAAGTTTTTTTCTGTACCTTGAATAGAATCAACACGGTTCATGATATCTTTCCGTTTTATACAGACACCAAATCTACTTTTAACAAATTTTTTGTCTGTCTGCATTGTCCAACGAAATTTCGTCAGGGGTAAGCTCGGCAATGGCTAATGGTAAACTTTTGAAATTTTGACATTATATTTAGGTTTGCTTAATTAAAATATAGACTTTAAATGAAAACAAAATATTGAGTAGAACCAAGGTTATAAAATCTTGAGTAATTTATCTAGAGATCCCGGTTAGGCAGTTACTTCGATTCCCATTCCAACCTACTCTATTGCGAGCCACATTTAAAAGTTGTACTACTGAACTGGTGCAAAAAATTATCACAACTCAACGGGAAAAATCCGGAATACCTAACATCTGTAACGCATTGTTGCATAAAACGGGTAAAACACACTCATTTTTCAACTTTGTCCGATCTTCCCGTTCAAGGTGTCATTCGATTCAACTTCCCGAGCCTCACAAATGTTGTATACATTTTTAGGATTAACCAAACAAATTAGCAGGAAATCGAAAAAAAAAAAAACTCCGATAAATTTCAGATCAACTTCTAATTTTACACGGATGTAGGTGACTCAATGTCCAATGTTATTTTGCCAGCGATAAACTCAGCAGAGTTTAAAGAAGTGGATAGACTGCAACTCTTTTTGATTAATTAATCGACTCAACAATCTTCTCGCTTCATCATATATAAAAATTAAACACTTAAAAAATTTTAATGGATCCGTGGTGGTCGGTTTAATTGTGTGGTACCTAAACAAATAGCCGAATAACAAAGTTTTTGTTATGACTATTGCGAAACCTTGACTTCCATAAGCTCCGACAAAAAAATTTCAAAACAATCCCCCTCCCTCCTCCCGATCCAATTTTATGAAATTGAATTTGCATTCGCCCCATCATAATACAAAATCCATTAAATTAAAAATTTAAAACAAAATCAAAAGATTAAACTATATAACTGCCGTTGGCGGGTACATCAGCTAGTGTTTAATAAATAGCAATAAGCTAATAGGTAACTGAAAAACTTACATTTGGATAACACTAATTTCAATCATTAATATTTTTCAAATCCAATCGATTTGAATTTCGCCACTAAGTAGATTAATAAATGGTGGTTTAGTTGTTTAGAGGACCAAATAAACCACCAATTCGAGTCAATATTTAATAGAAATAGAAGTATCAACATGACTCTACTAACGACTGCGTATATCAACCAAAATGACTTCAAGATAAATTTTGTATACCTTCTTTTATTCAATTTGATATATAATTTCTAGTGTTGCCCAAATGCGAGACCGAGACGAGTCTTGGTCATGGTCTTGGTGTTGCGCAAGAGTCTCGCAAAAATATTTCAGTTACTTATTAGCTTATTGCTATAATTTTTTAGATAGAAGTAACCTAACTAAGCCCGAATGAAAAATTAGAGGAGTTAAATTCAAAAGTATATTGTTTATACCAATAATTTACATATAGTAACTAAGATTATCAAGTATTAGCAACTATTTTGTCATAATTTTTATTTAAAAAATCGATTTTTTTTATCTTTCCTGGTCTTGGTCTTGCAACAGTCTTGTCAAGACCGATTTTGTGCAACACTAATAATTTTCTGATATGAATAATTTTCTCCACAGCTTAACTATTACGTATTCCCCGAAGTGGAATTCGTTGACAGTTTCGAGCAGTCTCTTAAGTACTTGACGTCTTCGTTGCCTTGCATGATTAACTTGCTGACTATCGTCGACCTGTATCTTTATTGTCCAAAGTATGACAGGATCGAAACTTTGTGCAACGACCTCTTCACTACTACTCCGCCTGTGGAAGCAACGAATTTCATTCCTTTCAGGTAATTTATTTAGTGGTTTTTACTCATATTATTTTCAGTTATAGATACATTTTTATCTGATAATTTTGAAATCATATAAACTGAATAAACCTTAAATAGATACAGAACAAAAATCTCTAAAAGAAATTAACAAAATAATTGTTAGTATATAAAAAAAAACTAAGGCGTGTTCTTTAGACCACACGATGGAAGTGAAAACATAGCATCGACAAAGCGAGATAATTAATATGAAATATAAATTTTAAATAATAGCTCATTAAAGAGAGCATGAAATTCTGAACATTTTCCTCGTTTATGCAGGCCATAACATACAGTAGACAGATCCGATTTTTTAGTTTCTGAGATATTTTTAATCATTTTTTTTTTCTGTTAGCATTACAAACCATGTAGATCTTTTGACGCCTTAACAAGCCTGCTCCAAATCTGCCTGTCTTGTGCTATTTCTTTCCATTTCTCCGCACGCACCTCATCTTGTTGCATCTTTGTTGATTCTATCTATCCATTTGGTTTTTGGCCTTCCACGTGGTCTTTTGCGTTCTATTGAGGCATTCCTTGTTATGTAGAGGCTTCTAAACGGATTTTTTTCTATCAGTACACTAAGATGCTGGTTGGTGTCCAGGTCTCACAGCCATATATTAGAACTGTTTCTTTTCATAGCATTGTACACCCTTAGTTTGAGATTTCTTGAGATTTTTCGGGATTTCAATACCTTTGAGAGAGATAAGATAGGTCTTTTTGCGCTAGTTATACGCTGGTCTATTTCTGCCCGTTGGTGATTCATTGAGGTTATTGTGGAGCTGAAGTATTTAAATTTTTCTATCTTGTTATTGGCGTGGAATTCTCGGTTCATTATCATATATTTTGTTTTGTCTTCATTTACTTGGAGGTAGATCTGCTCTGTCTCTCTTATCAGTCTTGTTGCAAGTTTCTCAATGTCTTCTTGATTACTTCCAAAGACAGCTATATTATCTGGGTATCCAAGGATTTTATGATTCATTCCAATATGGACCCCTCCATTCTCCTATAATATTGCTCTTATTACATACTCCAGGGCTAAGTTGAACAAGATCGGGGATAGTCCATCTCTCTGCCGTAAGCCCGTTCGAACTTTGAAGGCTTCAGGTACTTCTTTACCGGAAATTTCACAGAATCATAGGTTGCTTTGAAATGGACAAATAGGGCGTGGACGTCCTGAGTTATTTCTCATCGTTTTTCGAGTACTTGTTTTTGAATAAAGATATGGATTAGCGTGCTCCTCATTTCCTTAATCCAGCTTGGTTTCGCCTATTAGATTCTCGTAAGATTTTCATCCATATCTTCTATAAAACTCGTTATTATTTGGTTTTGGACGCTTTTTCCCTCATCTGCTCTCTAATACGGTGTTGGATTAAGATACGATTTTGAACAATAGCTAATTACAAAGTAGATGAGATACTGAACATTTCTCTCGATTACAATATACAGGTTCGATTTTTAGTATCTGAAATATTTTAATCCGTATGTTCAACTAAATTCATCATCATTTGTTTTTGGACACTATTTTCCTTTTCGCCTTCCTAACACGTTAAAATACAATTTTAAATTATATCTTATTACAGAGAGGATGAAATGCTGAATAATTCCCTCGCTTACAGTATGCAGACCCGGTTTATAATTTCTGAGATATTTTAATCCATTTGTAAAAACATTTCAATTAGTCGACTCCAGCCGACTTTCACAGAGCGTTAACATCTGACGGATCAATCTAATTCACTCTCCACAAAAAAGTGCAAAACGCAGCTAAAGAAGTCCATTCACTTCAATAATTAACTAATTAACGTTTTGGCTAGTCAGTAGATAGAATTCTGAATATTTTCGATCATTTACGAAAGCGTTGTTATGGAAATTTTCGGTAGAAACCATAAACATTGTGTGGGTTCCGATAAAAACCTTTCGTTGCCTAGTGTTGAATATAATATAAGCGTTCTGAAGGTCTTTCGTCTTCCTACGATCGATCTTGACTACAGTAGAAAATGTTCTAAATTCCACCTACAGTGTGATCATGTGACCTTTAACCCATCGCCATCTTGTCGGCCGTGGGGTATGATGTACTGTAAAAGGTCTGCATGTTTGTGAATCTTGATCTAGCTTATATGTAATCTTTATTTTTTACTATTTCTGTACTGATTATGCCTGAATTGAGGATTTATTATTTCATTACCATTATTTTAGAGACTTTAAAGCTTCTCTTATTCCGAACATCTTCTTATATATTATTTCTCGAATATATATCATTTTTCCGGCTCTCAGGAGTGATGGATTTTGACGAATGAGATATCAATAGAAAGGGAATATCACGTAGAGTGCGCGAATCATAATTTTGATTCCCAATTTTATACTTGGACTTGAATAAAAGTGAATGTAAAAGTGGGAGGTTTCAAACCGTATGATGGTGCCCTCTCAATGGATCGAGGCATTACAAATGGAGTCATAATTAGGAAATAACTCGAAAAGGACACAATGGCCCATTATGTATATTATTAGCTCATTGTGAGTATTTTAAAGCTTACTAAATTCTCTACAAAATGAAAAAAAAAATATCGAAATCGGACTATGTGGTGCAAAGATATAGTGTTTTAAACATTTAGCATTAATTCTGCTTTAAAGATATTTTTATTTTTTTGGTTACTCAAAAACTTTAAATCTATTGATGTAATAGTTGTTTTCGTCAAGTTTGTTTTAGTAGAATATTATTTTTTCATTTTTAATAAATATTTTCATAGGTACATATCAATAATAAACTTTATATCGAGGAAAAAGCTTAATTTTACCCTCATATATATATATATATATATATATATATATATATATATATAGTGTGTGTGTGTGTGTGTGTGTATGGTAAAATAAAGCTTTTTCCTCATTATAAATTGTATTAGTAGAATTTTTTATTTAATAAATATGTTGTGTAATAAGTTTCAGCTTTCTGATTTACAAAGTTACTAATATTTGGTTTTGTTAAATTAATTATTAAATTTGTTTATATTGCTATAAATATGTCATGCAATAAACATTTTAGGAATATTTGTTAATATACTTCATTTTAAATAAGATGTTATCATTGTATATAAGCTATTAGATGTTTATCATTTTAAAAATTAACTTGATTATTTTTAATGACATCTCTAGACCTCAATATTCCATATGTTTCCGATTTGGCCAAATCCAGATACCTATCCTTCCATAATAAACTTCATAACCATCCGAATCCTCTTGTTTCTAACCTTGCTTCCTCTTCGATTCCTGATAATCCTCCGAGGCGTCTGAAAAGGAGATGGCCTCGTGATCTCCTCATGTAGACAAATTATTAGAGTGCTACCAATGGGTAGTTTCTCAACAAGCGTGTTTCATCTGATAATATTCCTATGTTCACATTTACTTGATGTATCCATACTAATACCGTTGTAAATATCATAATAAAACTTAAAATAAAAAAAATAAAAAAATGACATCTCTCTTTTTTTTTTAATCTGTACATACCGCTTGCTAGGTCAAACCATTTCTTCCAGAGAACTAAATCCAAAGTATTTAGCCTTCATCGGATATTTAAAGGAAATGTTTAGAAGCTTTTGTAAACTTAAGAAAAATATAATATTATAATTATAAATTTAATGAAACTAGCAAGGACTAAACTATGGATGGTTATAGATCATAATATTTACAAACTGAAAACTTACTAAATAGAAATATTAAACCTATAAAGTATTAAAGTATTAAATAAGTATAAGTATAAGTATAAGTATTAAAGTATTAAACTTATTATAAAAGTATGCTTAGAAAAATTACTAAAATGAACTGATGCTGAGCCCTTGATGTATTGAAATCTGATACAAATATAAGGTTTGTGCCAAGTATTCGCACGGGTCAGCTAGTTTTTATTTAAGGTTAAACTTATTCCAACTATGTCCTAATAAATACTTTTTCTCTTATTCATAATATATTCAAGGTTACTCATGTTTCCTGATTCACTGGAAGGCGATTCCGAACTATTTGGAGATGTAGACTTCGATTACATATCTTATTGGGTGCCGAAAATGGTCACTTACATCATGAGGATGTCGGTAGTTCCGAGGAAGTTCTCTACCATCAGCAGCCGTCCGCACGGAATCCTCAACAGCAACTACATGGTCTGCACAAGGATTAGCCAGCAGGATTTCGTTGCGGAAGGATCGCCGGGCTACGAAAGGAAGAGGATAGGTAAAAGGAGAGGATATGTTTTAGGAAGAAGGAGGTCGTTAAATAATAAAGTTTAATATTCAGAGTATGTATTGATTCGTAACTAACAAGCGGTTTTAAGTTTAAATAGTTTTAAGAGATAATATAATCTTCGAGATGTACTATTGATGAAATGTACTTCACCTACATAAGTAGAGGTTTAGGATGTTTGATGACCGATGTCAGTAAAACCTTTTTGGGTGATACTAGGTCGAAAAATATTTGGCCTATGTCCCAGGGTTCTTGCCAATGCACCCTAGGAGCTGAGAATTTTTTATATTAATTTTTTATTACTTTGCTCTGCATGGGTTTCTAAGCTATTATATATCAATCTTTTTTTTTTTTTAATAAGTTAGACATATTGTTATTTTTACTAAACGACTTTTAATGTATAGTAAATTACAAAACCCCAAAGGCTAATCATAATCCAATAATCTAAATATTGATAATAATAAACTGATTGACCACTCATTTGGAAGATATTATTCTCCTTCACATGCTAAAAATTGTCCTATGCTCCTGAAATTTCAGAGGGGAAAGTTATGAAGGAAAAGAAACTTTATTCGCGAATAAATCAAAAGGTATGTATTCTGGATTGTACCCATGATAATTAGAAATATCACTAAATTACCTGATAATATATTTTAAACTGTTTCACTTGCAGTAGTATGCTGTTATGCATAACAGCCCACTATTGCAAACGCCCGTATGGCCCATCAGGCAAGGTACGGTGGAATGTAAATAAATAAATAAATAATCACTAAATTACCTGAAAAAATCGTAAAAATCTGACAATTATTAACAAAGATGCAGTCCATTAGTTTTGGTATACTTAATAATGTCTTCCTATTTAAAGATATTTCATTTAGAAATAGAATAGTCTACTAAATTTTTTTTCCTGGCTGATACATTACTTTATTATTTCTTAAATACATTTGGTTGTTCTTACATTTTATTTATTTTTTAATAATTTAGAATTTCTTAAGATCGGGACATTATTTTGTCTTTATTACTTTTATTATCTTTCCAGTCCGTGTTTAAAAATAGGTCCTAGCAAAGCAATTTGTGCAAATATTTTGGTCTATTATCTTTAATAGAATAAGGAAAAAATATTAATTCCTTCCTTACATAGTACATAGGAACTACTTATTTCCATATTCTTCATTAAACAAAATTTTCTGCGAATTTTTGCACGGGCCAACTAGTATTGAATAGTTTTTGATCAATCCCTTTTTATTCAATAAAATACGAGACCACTGAAAATTGGCCTTAACTCATTTCTCGTTCGAAATCGGCCCATTCATCAAACGAACTTTTTTGTAGGTAATTTTGTCTGGAACCAAACTCCAGAGTTCGCCCATTGAGAGCTGAGACATCCTTTATAATCAATATCAAACATGATTAACATTAACAATTATATGAAATAATGTATTTACGCTTAATATTATACTGATTAGAGTGCTACCAGTGGGTAGTTTCTCAACAAGAGTGTTTCATGTAATAATATTTCTCTGTACAAATTTACTAGATGTATTCATACTAATACAGTTGTAAATATCATAATAAAAGTTTAAAAAAAAAAATCCGCATACTAGACTTAAAGACAGGAACTTAACCGACGTTATGGCCAGCTATATAGACTACTTAATAGAAAATCTAAACTTTCTATTGAAAACAAACTACTGATCTACAAGACAATACTAAAACCCATGTGGACCTACGGACTAGAACTGTGGGGGACAGCTAAATTTTCTAACATCAAAAACATTCAATCCTTCCAGTCCAAAGTCCTCCGTACAACAGTCGATGCTCCCTTCTATATCACCAATAAAATCCTTCCTGCATAATGACATTAATATTCCATTTATTCTTGATCTTATCCCAGACAAATCGCCAAATTTCATCAGAACCTTACCCATCACCCTAATCCCGTAGCACAATCCCTATCTAGCATCACTCATCCCTAAGATCCTCCTCGCAGGCTAAAACGGCAGTGGCCTCGTGACCTTTTGTAACATGTAAATATTGGAGTTCTGGCAATGGCCAGAATCTCCACTCAAGTCATGAGTGTCTGTGGTTGTAGCGCCCTTACTCAATCTCCGCTGGCTTTTAATACCAGTGAAGTGGTTGAGGAAGAAGCGCAGGGATCTCCTGAAGCCTCGCTTTCCTTCCACATGTGGGGGGACAAGTATGGTTCGGAGTTCCCATGGCCGACTGTAAATAGTGTAAATAGGTATGCCTGCGTCTAAGATGTTTATTTTCATTACTTTTTTTTTTAAAGATAATTTTAATTCTATTTTATTCATTTATTTTTATTCTATTATTACTATTATTTATATTTTCTTCCTTCACTATGATATTTTATTTTGTTCTTATTTAGCTTTATATTATTTTGAAATTACCTTATTTATTTATTTATTTTTAATTTGTAAATATGGTGTGAATGTGCTCTCAGAACTCTATTATATATGTCCTTCATTGAGACAGATTTTAATATTTATCAATAAACAAATTATCCAGAAAAAATATTATACTGAATAAAATACTGATTTTTACATCATCAACAATTCCAATTTTATGCTATTTCATTGTATACTTAAACAATTTTCGGTTTATGATAATGAAATTAGGGTGGGGAGTTCGTAAATGGAACAAGATCAGTCAGTGGCAACCCTCTAGGAGAGCAAGACCAGTGCTGAGGCAACACAAGTGTGAGTCACTCTTACTTTCTTACGAAAACTGATCCACAGATCTGATACTGAGATTTATTATTATTACAATTGTTTTTGTTTATTTAATTATATTATAATAATACATTTTAGGTATTTAATAGCTCAAATTGCCAAAGGCACAATAAACTAGGAGTTGAAATAAATAATTTTTTTTTTCAATCAAATCAATAAATAATCATGATTTTTTAAGAAACAAATTTGAAAATTCCAACTAGTTTAATCATAATAAAATTTAAAAAATATAGGACGACGTTTATGTTTCGTTAAAAATTCGACCGATATTACTCCAATTAAAAAATTAATTAATTGAGTGAGAAGCGTAAATATTTAAATAGGATGCAAATTTTACTATCTTCATCTCAAATAATTTTAGATTTTTTTTAAATATAGCTGATTGAAATATAAACAGTTGCTATAAAAATATTATATGGCTACTGTTAGTACTAAAAGTCGAATATAAATTTTTTTTTTTTTACAGAACTGCATAAAACCTAATTATTTCTTTATGATCTGTGATTTGGTCGCTTTTTTTCAATGCTCGATAACTTCTAAAATTACAATAATTTTTAAAAGTTCAAAATAGAATTTTATTCGTCATGGTTTGAAGATACTATGTTAATTTTTACATTATTTTTACACCAGATTTCGACTATGAAAAAAAAAAATCATTTTTAAAAATAATAAATGACCCAAGGTACAATTACTATAGTTGTACCTTGGGTAATATTTTTGTAATTGTAGGAATTATAATTATTATTCAATAAGTATTACTTATTTACACTGGTAAGATAACTTTTTCATGTCATCTGTTGAAAACCCACAATATATTACGCCTGCAGTCAATAAATAGTCTTTTGTAAACTTCTTCAGTAAAAATCATGAATCAAGGATTTATTCTCACAAGAGACATATTTTGAAATTATATGAATGTATCTTGGGCCGGCTGAGTAGTATGTTTATGTACTTTTTTTATTAAAAATTATTATATCAAGTAAAGAAAAATTACTTTTCCAATTCTGAAACACTGTTATCAATATTATCAATAAATGGAGTAGATCAAAGGCACCAAAATCAGCTGCGAAGTGTCTAGGCCTATTCAATTTTACCACAACTCCTAAATTCCCCCCCGTGAAATTTATCTTCTTCTTAGGGTACCCCAAGGTACTTTTTGGCTCAAGGTACATGTATTTCCTCTATATTATATTACTATTTTTCCTAGTAGCAGACCATTTATTGTTGTTGCTGGGAAACAAAATGTCACCTTCAGCACAAATAGATTAAACATGGAAAATTGTTATATACGACCTTTTGCACTAACAGTAGCGACATATTTGATTCTGATTCAATACTTTAATAATTTTTTATACACCTAAAACCTATAAATAAAATTTATAATAAGTATCACTTATTATATAAATGAACCATATATAAAAACAAAGCTTTTGTGGAGATACCTTCAGAGGAAATTTATTTCTTGTTTTGAGGTCCTTGGTCCATTTTTGCAGTTTGGTGACTTTACCCTGAAACACTATATATATATATATATATGTATATATATTATGTATATGTATATATATATATATATATATATATATATATATATATATACATATACATAATATATATACAATAATTGAAAATATATACAATTATAATTGTGTATAAATTAGTCTGATAAATTTTGATCTGACGGATCGTCATTTGTATCATACGCTTAACTAATCATGCTAACAGTATAGCAAAATATATTTAAATATTTATACATTTATATACGATGAGACGTCATAATTATTATAAGATAATTATGTAGTAGTGGTATATTTTTTTTTATATATAAAACTTCTGTAATATTTTATATAAATATAAACTACGAAAGTATTACAATTGTGAAAAGTTTTGAATTCGAGCTTTCAACCGGAAATACGTATGCCAAGGTCTATATTTGTGTGAACAGGCTAGCTCAAAAATGAAAAGTCGAACGAAATTGAAATTTCACATTTAATGGTATTTTTTTTGTCTAATTCGACTTACCGGAAACGGTGCTTTATACCATCGACTTAACAAGTATTTACAATTTTCTCAAAAACTCGAGATGTCGAAGTAAATTTTTTGGTCTTTAATATTGTGTAGCTATTCACCTCATTGAAGTAGCCTGGTATTAGTTAAATTCCGATTTTTAAAAACTTCTTGCTGTATAGTAGCTTTATTGGAAATAATTAAAGATCTCATATTGTTAGCAGTACTACAAAATGCGTAAATATGAACTACGAAAGAATATGATAATTAATTAAAGGAGAAAATAAGAAAAATATTACTTTCAGATTGGAAGCAAATTTTCGGAAATGAGAGTGATAATATATTTGTGATAACCCTGGAGCCAGTGCCCTCGCAGTGAAGTGACCTCATTGCGGGCGAAGGCTTCAATGTCAATTATAAAAGTATATGTTATTCTTAGCAAATTGCACCCTGTATGCCATTTCAGAGCCGCTGCTTTAAAAAATGGCGACTGATTTAAAGAATATTCGGCCAGTAACTTGGAAATCGAAACTAAAAATATATTGAGAATAATGTGAGAAGATTTTTATTTTTTTTAACTTCTATCTGTAGTTAACAAGTGTAAATAACAGAAGTGCTAACGCGGACCACCAAGGGAAAACTTTTTACAGTAAAGAAGCCACATTTTTATTTCTTTAATTATTTTTTTAACTTATAACTCCTAAACTTGTATATAGGCAGGTGTGTATTTAATATCCCGTGTTACAAAAACTCTTTCGATTGGGGCGTTTTCAATCTGGTGGTAGACAAAGTTTTTTCTATTTAATTAGGTATTAAAAAATCGTATATTTGCTTTCTACTTGGATCGTAAAATAATTTAGCAAAATCGAGAAAAAATGTGACCTTCAAAAATATTGGACCGTTTGCCCTATACAAACTCGTTATTTATACATTTTGAGGTAGTAGGTCACTCCAAACGGCTCTATATTTTTGAAGGCCACCTTTTTTATCGAGTTCGTGCTGAAATTATCTTACGATTGAAGTGGAAAGCAAATTAGTATTTACGAGTTTTTTGTACCTGATTATATAAACAAAATTTGTCGATCTCCAGATTGAAAACGTCCCAATTCCGAAGATTTTCGTAAATATAATAATAGTAGGTTACGATGAGATGAAGCTATTTACGAAGTTTCAGGCGGATGTTAATAATCCGATAAAAAGGGGTCTGTAACCACGGACTATAAGTAGTTATTTTGATTCGTTAGTTTATTTTGGTTTTCTTTAGTTTATTTCAGTTTATATAAATTTACTTTTAGCACCACTATTTTGATTGGTTTACTTTGTTTTGGTTTTCTTTAGTTTATTTCAGTTTATTTAAATTTACTTTTAGCACCACTATTTTGATTGGTTTACTTTATTTTGGTTTTCTTTAGTTTATTTCAGTTTATATAAATTTACTTTTGGTACTACTATTTTGTTGTTGATTTATTGTACATGATGAATGAGCTACTCTTTTATCATTATTACTATTGTCTTTAGATGTGACAGGTTGTAATATATCTCAATAAAGAATTTTCGAGAAAAAAAAAAACTCCTGAACGGTGCATCGATGTCGAATACGTACTCTTATAAAAATTAACGAACGTTAAATTGTGCGCCAAACAAGTACCTAACCTAAAATTTTTATGATCCTTATTTATGAACCTAAAATTTACTCAGTCACTGAATAGAAATGAGATGGATGACATGTGGGTGACTCAGAAACGAGGTGAACATGACAATAATAAGGAATTTTATTATGAGTAGACGCATGCAATTCGCATAAGTGAAAAGGACAGGTACATGATGGGTATTTTAGACTTGAAAATGGCTCAACGAGCCGAAACGACGTCATTATGATGAGTAGTCATTAAGTGACAATTTTTTTTTTTTAAATTGGTGCAAATATGGCTAATAATAAATTAACTTGAAAATAAATAGTATGCACCGTAGAAGAAGTGAGAAATATTGTGAAATCTTTTAGGTTCTTTATTTATTCATTAAGGCTGAAGTTTGTTAGCCTGGAGCTACTAAGAATCTTAAAGGTATGATATTTTTTTTTTTTTTTTTTTTTTAATAATAATACAATTAGCCACTGTTGGAGGGCTATAAGTATTAAGGCTAGAAGTTCTCATTCATACAGTATATACAAGTAATACAGAAGTAACTATAAATATAAAAAGTAAATAAATAATACTTATAAAAAAAATGTAAATCAATAGGAAAAAATAAATAGATAAATAAAATAAAAAAATAAATAAACAAAATAAAATAAAAACTTCTAAACACATTCATACCTATATACAATATATACATTCGCCCAGGAATCTCCGAGCCAGGCTTTTCTCCCCACATGTGGAAAGCAAAGCAGGACTCCAGAGATCCCAGTGCCACTTTTCCAGCCGCATCACTAGTATTAAAAGCCAGTGGAGGCTGAGGGAGGGCACTAGAGCCACAGATGCTCAGGACTTGAGTGGAGAAGCTGGCCATTGCCAGGACTCCAGAAGCATATTTACAATAGATCTCGCGGCCTCTGCCGTTTTAACCTTCGAGGGGGATTGTAGAGATGGTGGGAGCTGGATAGGGATAAAGGTATGATTAGAATAGAATTAGAAAAAACGTGTAAAAAAAATCGTTAAACCATTGAGGTCAAATCTGACATTTATCAATCTGACGTATTCACCAGAATGAACAACAAATTAAATGTCTACAGTTTAAAGTTAAACGCAAAAGGAGATAACAAGTAATTGGAAGCTATTAATTTTCTAGCGCTCACTACCTTGTTACGCTTATCAATGTTAAATTTATCTTTGTATGCGTTGCTGATTAGCAATTATTATATATTTCAAAATAAAATATTTAATTTTTTTTTCGTATAGTTAATGTTATGCCAATTTCCATTGTGATAGGTAATGGATAAAAATCCATAAACATTTAAATAAATA